TTGTCACTACTGGCATCTAGTGGGTAGAGGCCAAAGATGCTGTTAAACATCTAGAATGCACAGGATAGCTCCCCAAAACAAAACACTATCTGGTTCAAAATATCAATAGTGTGGAGGTGGAGAGACCCTAATCTTGACTGAATAAGAGACTGAATCTGCTTTTTATATCATATACTCTCTGCAGACCACTAGTATACTAAATTTGCTTTGTCAGGAAGCCTGACTTTTTTTTTTTAATAGAAATAAACAATTTCCTGACAAGAAATGAAGGGGGGAGTGTTCTGGCATCCAGAATTAAGATTTTGGCAATTGAAAAGTACCTGATTAATAAAAGAACAGACATAAAAGTTATAATATCTTTAAATCTGAAATGCTTTACAACAGTGAAAACGAATGAATCAGATATATATATCTAATTTTCACTATATATATGTATATATATACACACACAGTGTATATATACTATATACTATATTTCACTGTGTGTGTGTGTATCTCAACAGGGATAAATCTCTTAAGCATAATGTTGAGTGAGGAAAGAAAGCAAATTGCAGAAGGTACATACAAGAGTGATACTGTTTAGGTAAAGTACTACATGTAGTTTAGGGGTAGACACATGTGTAGTAATGTATAAAGAGATGCATGGAAAAGATCAAGATCAAATCTGGTGAATAGTGAAATAGTGAAAACCTCAGGGCAGAGGTATATACAGAGGGCTTCAATTGCAGTGGTAATGCCTTATTTCTTAAGCTGGGTAGTGGGCATCTCTTTGTTATGTTATTCTCTATATATTTATGTACTTTTGAAATATTTAACACTTTTATAAAAGAGCAATTGCTCAATACTGAGGCATCCTATCACATAGGGTTGAGGAAAATCTCCATCTTGTTAGTTTGCACTAGCCAGAATTCCCTCAATGTGTCAAAACTGAACGACTCATTGAATCCAATCATTCTCTATGGGACAGGATCTTACATACTATATACATAGGGTAATATTCCCTAAGTTGCTGTTTGCATTGTCCTGCAATGTCTAAACTTTGTGATAATTACATATTTATTGAAATTTCATGTTATGCAGTCTAAAAATATAGTCAATTTTAGTATTATTCATTATTTTTCAAAACTATGAAAATGTCCTTTGATGTTCATCATTTAAAATAACAAAGTAATGGGAAGGGGCGCCTGGCTGGCTCAGCTGGTTAAGTGGACGACTCTTGATTTCCACTTAGGTCATGATCTCAGTGTCCTGGGATCGAGCCCCACGTTGGGGTCTATACTCAATGGGGAGCCTGCTTGAGGAATCTCTCTCTCCCTCTTATTCTGCCCCTCCCCCTGCTCACACATGCTCTCTCTCTCTCTCTCTCTCTCTCAAATAAATAAATCCTTTAAAAAAATAACAAGATAATGGGAAAAGGATGGACTTTTAAACAAATAATGTCAGGAAACAGGATACCTACATGCAAAAGAGTATGAGATTGGACCCTTACTTTACAACATATACAAAAATGAATTAAAAATAGAACAAAGACCTAAACATAGAGCTAAAACTTTAAAACTATTAGAGGAAAACATATAGACGTTGGATTTGGCAATGATTTTTTTTTTTGGACATGACATCAAAGCACAGACAACAACAACATAATAAATAAATTGAACTTCATTAAAATTAAAAAGTTTTGAACATCAAAAGATACTATCAAGAGAATGAAAAGACAACTCACAGAATAGAAGAAAATATTAGCAAAGCATATATCTGATAATGGATTAATACCTAGAATAGGTAAAGCACTCCCACAACTCAACAAAAACAAATCCAATTCAAAAATGGACAAAGGACTTGGGAGTCCTTTGTCTTAAGTAAAAGAGTCAGATCCTCACATCTTCTTTAATGAGGTGTACCTTAGAGAGTGAGAAACTGCAGAGGTAGAAATAAAAACATAAAATAATATCTGGAAGTTTTGCTGAGAAATAAGGGGATTGAACTAAATGTTTTCTGGAGTCCCTTCTGGCTGAAGGTGTTTTCAGTTTCTGCTAAGCACCACAAGCAAAAAAAGAGCAGAAAAGTGCTTGGTCTGAATTCCCACAGGCCACATTAGGGAGATGGAACACTTGCAAAGCCTAGCGCTGAGCACAGGGTCCCTGAGTGCTGAGTTGGTAAAGATAGAACAAAAGGATTTCCTTTTTGAAGTGGCTTCTTCACACTTCAGGCTGTGCATGGGGTACTAAAGGGCTAAAATATGGAAGAAAACTTCAGGTAGAAACTGGGAGCTAAATTTTACTGTTTTATCTGCTAGAATTATGATTTTTTTCAGGGCACCTGGATGGCTCAGTCAATTGTGTCCAACTCTTGGTTTCAGCTAAGGTTGTGATCTCATGGGTCCTGCTATGGAGCGCCCAGTCAGGCTCCAGGCTTAGTGGGGAGTCTGCTCCTCCCCCGACTCTCTCAGTGCTTTCTCTCTCAAATAAATAAATCTTTAAAAATGATTTTTTTCTAAGATTTTTTATTTTTATTCTTTATTATTTATTTTTAAAAAGATTTTATTTATTTATTTGACACAGAGAGAGAGCAGAAGCAGGGGTAACTGCAGGCAGAGAGAGAGGGAGAAGCAGGCTCCCCACTGAGCTGGGATCCCTATGTAAGGCTTGATCCCAGGACCCCAGGATCATGACCTGAGCTGAAGGTAGATGCTCAACCAACTGAGCCATCCAGGTGCCCCTCTTTCCAATATATATATATTTTTATTTTTAAAGTTTTTATTTATTTGAGGCAGAGAGAAAGAGAGAGAGCACAAGTGGGGAAGAGGGTCAGAGGGAGAGGGGGAAGCAGACTCCCTGCTTAGCAAGGAGCCCAACAGGGGGCTCAATCCCAGGACTCTGAGATCATGACCTGAGTGGAAGGCAGATGTTTAACCCACTGAGCTGCCCAGGTTCCTCTCTAAGATTTTTCAAAAATAATTATTTATATTATCAATATATCAGTTATCATTATACTGAAGTTGATAATACAGAAAAGTAGAAGGAAAAGAAAAAATTCATTTAGTTCTACCACATACAGACAACCAATACCAGTATTTTGTATATTTTGTTCGTCTTTTTCTCATGCATATCGACCCATTTTCATTAATTGTGATCATATTTTATATTAAATGTTGTATCCTATTTTTATAATATTAGAGCATAAGCATTTCCTGTCATAAACTATGTGTAAATGTTAGTTTTATTGGTTATATGACATTCTATTGTATGACTCTATTATAATTTACTTAACCATTAAGTTTTTGGTTAGTATTTTACTATCCTAAGTAATACTAGGATTAACATAGTTGTACAAAAAGTTCGTGTACTTCTGTTTTCCTTAGGATGCATTCATTCACATATTATATAAATACGAGTGAGGGTCTTCTATGTGTCTTCTATGTGACTATGCTAGGTGTCAAGTTTCTGCCTTGGGTGGCATGCTATTATTTATTGAGATAGGAAACACTGGAGGAGGGGCAAATTTAAGAGAAAACATGGTGTGTTCAGCTTTGGATGTGTTGAATTTGAGGTGCCTGCAAGACATCTGAATGGAGATGTCAAGAATATAGAACTCAGTGAAGAGGTCTGGATAAAGTTATAAAATTACAGTTGTGGCCACATACATATTTAAAGCCAGGTGAGTGAAAGAGATCATTTAGGGAGAAAATACACAGCCTAGCTCTGAGAATGTCTGATGTTCAGAGGTTAGATAGCAGAAGTGGAGTCTACAAAGTGATTCTGAGGAGAGGGCAAAAGGATAGGAGGAAAAGCAAGAGTATGGAATTATAAATGCGACAGGAAGACTTTCAAGTAGGAGGAAATAGTTAACAGCATTAAATATAGGGAAGATGTCAAGCAAGATAGTGATTAAAAATGTTCTCTTTATTTATTTTATTTATTTACATAGATTTATTGACATGGAGGTCATTCATTGGTTGGGTATTTCATTGAGCACAGTTTCTGTGGAGTGTTGGGGAAGAAAGCCAAACTGATAAGTGAGAGAAGAGAACAGAGATTGCAAATGTACCTGCAAAGTACATTTTCAATAAATTTGCCCATAAAGAGGAGCTGGAGAAGTACCTAGTTTGTAGGGAGGATTTTTTTTTTTTTTTAAGATGGTAGACTTGGATACGTTTAATTGAGCATGGTTAATAGCTGATGAGAAGAAGTGAAGGAGAGAGAGGGAGGAGGGAGAGAGGGGGACAGGAATCTACAATTACTGGATAGATATAAACATTTTAAAGCCTAATGATATATATTGCTCACATGCCTTCTAAAAGGGTTTTTAAGCAGCACGTACTCCTAGGGCAATTATGAAAGAGCTCTGTTTTTGGTACCTACTGTGTTGTCAAATATGATAAAAACAAACAAAAACTTTGCCAAAGAATCTCATTATTGCTCTAATTTGCTCTTACTTCATTACTAGTGAGTTGAATGTTTTAAACGTGTGTGTGTGTGTGTGTGTGATTTAAATCTATGTCCTTTGCCCCCAAACGTTTCTATTTTAGACACTTTATTTGCCTGTAAGTTAAAGGATCAGAATGGTATCATATTTTATCTTCCCAAATCATATGGTCTAGAGTCTTCATCTTTTAAGTACATGACAGTTTGACAACTTTTGGCTCAGCTAAGCGGAAGAGGCAGGAGATTTATCATCTGAGTGACCACAGATGGAAGTGAAAAGGGGGCCGTGTCCAGTCTTGGACCCCTATCCTCAGCCCTTAGGCTCCCTTTCCTAACCTGGAGGGCATCCCTCCAGTGACTTAAGTCTTTGGCTCTCAGACCACCCTTTCGGTGGCGCGGCCCCCTACTAAGGGGCCCAGAGAGCTGTGCGGCCCCTTTAAGAGTCCAGCTCCTCCCCGCTCCAGGGAAAGTTGCAGCTTTTTCCGCCTCCCGGGAGGGTGAGTAGGGCCGGCCGCCCGAGCAGGTTTGCTGCCTTCTCCGAGCCGGAGACCCTCCTTTGAATCTGGCACTGGGACGTCTCACCCTCTCGCGGCACCTGTTGCAAGTGACAGGTATGTCCGCGGCCAGCGGCCGCCCCTTCGCCCTCAGTCCCGGGCTCCCTCCGGCCCCTAGCGCCTTTTCTCTGCCTAAGCGCCCCCCACCCCTATCTCAGGGACCCGCGCCCTTCTCTACCCCTCTATCCGCTCTCCCAGTCTTTCCTTCTCTGTAGCTGACCGCCCGTCCCTTCTCCCTTGTCTGCTCTCCGGACCGCACCCCCGACGCTTTGACTCCAGTCTGCTTGGAGCGGTCCCTCCCGGCCAGTTTGCGTTCCTTCGGGCCTCTTCTGGACCCTTTCCTGGCCCACGAGTCGCTAACGGGGGCTGCACCCCTCTGGGCTGTGCCTCCTCTGGGTCTCGCCTCGAACAGAGTGGGTGGGCTTTTCCCGCCAGCCCCAGCTGGAGCCCCTCCGGAGCTGGCCCTGGGGGCGGGTGGGGTCGAGCTCCTAGCGGGAACTGCACCCTCAAAGACGTCTAGTCACCTTTGCGGTGGTTCTTTCTCAGCGCTTGGCCGTCCCGCCCGCTCTCAGCCTCGCACTGCTTCCGGACCTCGGACCTCACGGGGTTAGCTTCTCTGGCCTCCAAGGTCTGCCTGAGGTAAAGGCTGGAGGCCGGTTGGCTGTGAATCCTGCCTCAGTGGACTCCCACTGCGCCTGGGCTGGGGACCCACGGGTGTGCTCTGGAGTTGAACTGCTTTCTCTTAACACTCTTCAAGCAGGCGTCAGAGGTTTGCTCGTGGAAGAGGGTCTCCAGAGCCCTCAGACGGGGCACAGAATGCTCTAATCCCCAGTGATGGTTTGTAAGGAGCCAGAAAACATGTTCCTCTAGACCCCCAAAGTTGAATGTGATTTTTTTTTTCTGGTGCTGAAAACATTTGGTTATAATTCTGGTGAATGAACAGGTGATCTGTTTTTCATTAACTGAGATTTTCTTCCCCCAGTAAGTACCCTGCTTCTTGAGGACCGGAGGAGCTAGCATTCTGGAATATTGTTTTTGGCAGGGTTGACCCTAGACCTTGTGCATTTGAGTCTGCACTGCATCCTGGACCTCCTATTTTTAACTGGCTTCTTTTCTGTTCTTTAAGCTCCCCACCCTGACTCCTCATAAACCCATTGATATTAAAGTGTTAATAACCTAATGTGTTTACTTCACTGGGCTGTGGAGAGAAAGATGTTTAATGCAACAGAGTTGAGGCCCCACCAATGAAGTTTTTTTGTTGTTGTTGTTGTTGTTGTTGTTTTTGTAGTTGTAGGTTTTGGTTTTGTGTTTGTTTTTCGTTTTTTTTTATTGTTGTTTTTTGTTTTGTTTTTTGTTTTTTTGTTTTGTTGTGGGTTTTTGTTTTGTTTTGTTTTGTTTTTAGCACCTGCTGGAAATCCAAGTAGAAAAAGATCACCAATTTAGCTTGTGAGACTTCTCCTGGCAGGGATTGAACATTTCTGGTGCCACAATTTTAGGTCAGAGCAGTGAAATGGAGCTTGGAGGCCTATTCTGGGATAATTGGTCAGTGAGTGTATGTGGCATTCTGGTTCATGCTCTCTGAGCTCTCTCTCTTGAGGCTACTAATAATGGTGGTTAGGATCTGTTGAGCCATGCACAATGCTAAGTTCTTCACGTAGTCAATTCATATAATCCTCATGATAACTCTGTGGTACACACTACAGTTATAACCATATTGTGATGGAAAGGAAGCTCAGAGGTTAAGCGCCTTGCCCCAAATCACCCAGCTGATGAGGGGCCTAACTGGGCAGAGCTTGTGTTCCCATCCCTTGTCCCACCACTTCTGCTGTCTTAGATTTTAGGAACACTAAATAAATAGCTCACAGGGGAGGACTAAGTGGTTAAAAATTTCCCTTCCAAGCTAACGTGAGTTTTGGTCCTTGACTTGATTTCAGATGTGCTGTAGAGACTTGGGACCACTGACCTCACTGATGTCTTACCCTTTTCACCACTTCACTTCTAACAGGGGGCCAGTTGGCACATTACTACTATAAGCACACAGCCCTGAGTGTACCTGGCTGAATGAAGCCTCTGGGATTTTTAGCTCGGTAGTAACTGTCCTGAAGTTAGAGGGTAACCCTGGATTCTAGGGATGTGTGTCTGACTCAACTTCTTCCTTTCCTGTGGGCTAGGGAAGAGATGAGGGTGTGGTAAGTGATAAGGATTTCCCAACAGCCCGCCCAGAGAGCCTGAGGGTGAGTGTGTGCTTGTTTTATCCTGGGGTGGATGGATTACCTTCTGCAGCCACAGCACCAGAGAGAAAATGTTCTTACCCTATCCCATCTGTAGGCCTTTGATCCAAATGTTTCTTTTTCCTGAAAAGCTAGCTTGCTTCCCAGACCCACTCTCCTGCTGTTCATTCCTATTCACCTCTCAAGAATTAGCTCTCAGTTCCTCTCCTTTGGTACAACCTTACTGAACACACAATTCCTTCCCTGGAGCCAAATTACCAGTTATCCTGTCCTAAAGCACTTTGTTTACACCTCAGGAACACCCTGAACATCTCTCTTAGTTGTTTCTCCACCTGGAAGGTTGTAACCTCTTTTAAGGGCAAGGGCAGGATCTTGGAGCTCCCTTTCTCTTAAGTACAAGAGATTAATAAATATTCGTGCTAGGCTGGAGATACCAGGCCTTTAAAGGCCCGAGGGCTGGTGGTGGTAGAATTGAAGTCCACCAAACAGCTTACTGAGGCACTTGAGATCCGACAGCTAGGAGTTTGTACTTAAATGTCACTTCAGCGAGGCCTCTTCCTAACCACAGTATTTAAACTTGCAACCCCATCCCTGAACATTCTATATGCCACTTCCCTACTTTATTACTCTAATGTAACATTGTGTGTGTGTGGTTTTTTTTTTTTAATTTTTCTTTCTTCTTGCCTGTCCCTTCCATACCCTTCCATAATATATGTTCCATGTGGGCAGGGATTTATGTTCTATTTACTGGTAACAAAGCCCAGCACCCATAACAGAACTTGGCACATCATAGGTGCTTAACTAATATTTGTGAAATGAATCAATGAGTGCCATTACTGTTCTAGGAATTGGAACTCTTTTGTGCTCTCCTGGACCTAAAAGGAAGTATCCCTAGTCTGTCACCCTACCACAGGCTCAGTTCCCACACAGCTTTCCTTCTGCTGAGTTTTGCTTTGAGACTGCATTCCTGATGACAACTTTGACCTAGTTGGAAGTATTTCCTCTCTCTTTCTCTCTTTTTAAGGCATGAGTCTCTGAATGGAAACTTCTAAAGTGAAAATGGAAAGAGGCGGGGCTTCTTGTTGGTAGGAAGGGGGATTTGCGCTGAGAGGAGAGGATGTGGATTGTCAGACGTCTTCAGGCTTATCAGGCATTTGGCAGGCTCAGTAAGCTAGAGAAAGTTACTGTGTACTGGGGAAGTGAACAGCCAAAAAGAATTTAAGGTGGCACAAATTTGGCTTTGGCCTCACGTTTCCCTTAGATTTTTAGGCATGAGGTGGTTACTGTATTATAAACTTTGTGGAAAAGCCACTGTTGAGTGCTGTGTGTCTAGTACTTGACTAGTTTAGTTTTATACTAGGCGAATTCTGCAGTGTGAGGAAACCACTATGGAACAAAAAAGAAAAAAGGTATAATTGTGTTTAAATGTGGTTTGAAATAGAAAGAAAAAAAAGGGGGGGTGGCATCTGGGTGGCTTAGTTGGTTAACTGTCTGCCTTTTGCTCAGGTCATGATCCCGGAGTCCCAGGATCCAGCTGCATTGGTCTCCCTGCCCAGTGGGGAGTCTGCTTCATCCTCTGCCCCTCACCCCACTTGTGCTGTCTCTCAACTAAATAAATAAAATCTTAAAAAGAAAGGGGGAAAAAAGAAAGGAAAAAGGGGTGCCTGGGTGGTTCAGTGGGTTAAAGCCTCTGCCTTCGGCTCAGGTCATGATGAACCTGCTCACCCACCCCCGTCCCCGCCCGCCTCTCTCTGCCTGCTTCTCTGCCTACTTGTTATCTCTGTCTGTCAAATAAATAAATAAAATCTTTAAAAAAAAAGAAAGGAAAAAACCCTAGAATTCCTTAAAAGACAAGCTTGGAAGGAGTTGGGCCCTTAAAATGGTGGTATATGTGGGATTTTCTGTCATTTGATGTATGTTAACTTCTTTAAAACTCAAGTTTGTATTAAACTTCTGCTCAGCCTCCTCTTCTACTAAATTTATCTCCTCAACCTCTGAACATTGGAGTGACCTAGGGGTCAGTCCATGTACTTTTTTCCATCCAGAATCCTAGAAGCACTCTTCCAGTCCCATGGCTTTAAATTTAAATAAATAAATAAATACCATCTATCTATACACTCATCACTCCCACATTTATGTGTCTGACCCAAGCATTTCTTCTAAGCTGCAGCCTCATACATCCAATGGCCTATTTGATAGCTCTACTTGGATGTATGTCCAATAGATAATCAAATGTGACATGGCCAAAACAGGATTCCCAATTCTTCTCAGATTCCCAGCCCTTTCCCTCAGCCTTCTCTATCTCAGGAAAATGGCACCGTCATCCATTCAGTTGTCACCCTTGTGAACCTAGGGTCACCCTTGATTCCTCCCCTTCTCTCACCTCCCCACATCAATTCATTGGCACGTCCTATTGACCTGATCTTCCAACTGTGTCATATATTCTGTTGCACATCTCCATCTCCTCTTCCTGTTACCCTAGTCCAAGCAACACAAGGCTGCAATAAATATCTTTGCAGAGAGCCCACAATGGATGTAGATGTAGATGCACCCATACAAATATTTCTGTAGGATAGCTTTGTAGTAGAATTATTGGGTCAAAGGATATTTACATTAAAAAATGTAAACAGGCTTCACCAGAGTGACCTTCAGGAAGGTTTACACTCTCACCACAGAGAGTGCTTTTCTGCATGCCCTTACTGAGGGTGGACAGTCTTTCTAATTTTTGCCCGTCTGATAGGTGAAAAATAGTGTCTAACTAGTTTAACTTGCAGTCCTTTTATTACTAGTAAGGCTGAGTATTTTTTCATGTGTGTTGGCTCTTTGCGTTTTTCCTGAGACTTGTTCCATAAGACCCTTTGCACATTTTTCTTTTGGGTTATATATTTAATTTGTTTGTAAGAACACTGTGTTTATTAGGGATATTTATTCATTGCCTGTTACATAGTGCAAGTTTTTTGCTCTTGTCATATGTCATAACTTTGTTCATGCTGTGTACCCCTCTTGTAATCAGATAAAACACACTATAAAACATTTTGAAAAACATGTTCATTAGATTTGGCAATGAGGAGGTCAATGACGACATCAGTGCAGCAGGAGAGAAGGCAGATTGTAGAGGATTGGGGAGTGAGCATGGAGAAGGCCTGATAAGGAACATGCTATATACACTTTGAGGAGGCTTGGCTACAATGGGAAGGAAAGGGCATTTCCTGTAGACAGTTGGGTACAAGGAACAAGTCCATCTTGTTAATTTTGTTTAGTTTTAAATATAGGACATGAGCCCATTTATATGGAGATGGCATAGAACTTGATGGTACATAGTTGCTGAGGAAGTAGAAGGGTGCAGGCTCCAGAGTGAAAGAGGTAAAAAGACTGGTCTTAGAGTAAGGGAGGTAACTCTTCCACTGAGACGGGAGGGAAAGGGGCAGAACTGATGATGCTGTGGAGAAGGAAGGAACTGTGGAAGGACAAGATTGTGAGGAAGGTCCCACCTGATGTAAGGACTGAGGAACTGCGATAGCATTTGAGAGGGATAAAAAGAGGAGCTTTTTAGAGACCTGTCATCCAGATTGCCACAACACAGCGAGCCAAGAAAGGCTTGGATAACTTGAATTTGTCTCCACCGCGAGTCACAGAATCCTGTATCCATTCTCTCCAGCAGCACTCATCAGTCCAGATGTAGAAACAGAGTGTAGATGATCTAGTTCAGGGACTTTTCTGGGTAGCCATGACAGAAATATAAGAGGGCAGGAGATTGGACAGTGCTGGTGGAATAGTTTAAATGGTGGAACCCTGTGGAACCTGTATCTGTGACTAATTCTTCTTTGAACTTGAGTAATTCTTAAGAGATGGAAAATTCTTGTGGCATCTTGTACTGTTTGTTGTTTGTAGCTCTGTTAATTCAGGCATCAGAATAGCTTTAATATAAGTGTCCTTAAACTATGGTTTACAACTTACCAGAAAACGTGGGTTGATTTACTGAGGGCCTATAATGTACCAGTTTCTAGGGGAAGTACTTGAGATATAGTGGAGAAGAAGACCATGGCCTTTTCTTCATGGAACTTACTTCAGCAGAAGAGGTATGTGTTAATGTATCACATAAGTAGTGATTTCATCACCATTGTGATAAGTTCAATGACTAATTTTTTGGAAATCACATTGTCACATTGCTGTCTCTAACTGGTTTTACCAATTTACATTTACCAACAAAGTAAAATCTTCCCTTTTTAAAATTGAATACTGTCTTTTAAAAATTTTGCTGAATTGATAGGCATCCATGAAAACACTTTCATTACCAGTAAGAGTGAAACTTTTTTCTTTTTTACAGCTATTGGCCATTTGATCTTCTTTCTTCAAGAATTATCTGTTCATGCTCATTTTCTGTTAGCTACTTAAGTCTCTGTGTTTTTAGTAGATTTCTTTTCTGTATTTGAACCCATTAACCACCCTTCTCTCACTCCTCCCTTAGCTCTGGAAACTCTAAAATGTATTTTACCCAGTCTCTGTCCATTCCCTTTTCATCTTCTTTGAATTTCTTTCTTATCTACTTTAGAAGCTTTGGTGTGAATAGGGATTTGACTACATTTTTATTACTTGACCCAGCAAAAATAATACATATGTCTTCTGTTCTCCTTCCAAATTCTATTCCCCAGAGGTAACAATATTAAATTTGCATATCTTTCCAGATATTTCCAGCCTGTATAAAATATTTCCTGTATAAAATATTTCTTTCCTCTCATCCATCCATTACCATCCATTAATTCTATCTGTACTTGTATGTTAACAAATACAAATGGAATCATAATGTTTATGTATTGCAATGGATTTTTACTTAATATTTTTGTCAAGCCTTCAATGTCAGTAAAAGTAGAACTATCTCTTTTTAACAGTGTCATAGGTGTTTTCAAATGTGTGTGTGGAAGGAGAAGGTAAGATGGCAGACCCTAACCCTGTCTCATCCCTCAAACACAGCTAGAATAATTATCAGATCATTCTGAACACCCAAGAAATCAGAGGCCTGAGAGAACAAAAACTGCAGGTCTACATGTAGAAAAGCAACCGCCTTATGGAAGGTAGGAGATGCGGAGAATTGAATTGGGGGAGAGACAGCTGTGAATACAGTGATGGATTGGGAGCCTGCTTATGGAGGCTATTGCAAAGTATTATAAGCACAAGAGCACAAAATCTGAGCTTTTAGAAGTATGCTACAGTGGGGGATGGGCCTGACTTAAAGGTGCTCAGGTGACAAAGTGGGGTGGAATCCCAGGTGTGACACTGTGGTCTGAGCATCCCCTGGGTTGCAAGAAGAATGGGTAGTGCTTAACTGCTGCATTGTTCCCAGGCCTGGGAGCAGCGACTCCGGCTGAGCGCTGAACCATGGTGCTGGCTTTCTCCTCTGTTTTGCTGTAAACTGTGAATTGCTATGCAGTCCTGTAACTGCTTTCCTGTAATAGGCTGGCAAATGGCAAAAACGTGGTGAAACCCTCCCCCAGAGGAACAGTGTGTGTCCATGCCATAGGAGTCCCTAAAATTTGGAATTTTCAAACTCAGTCGCAGGCCTGAGATGAAAAAAAGTTAAGACACAGGCAGGGTGAACTCAGGGTTCTGATGGAAATCGGGGACACAAGAGTGATTGATTGCTCTTCTGTGATGGCTCACTAAAGATAGAGGGCATGAACTTTCAGCTCTAGGCCTAGAGAGCTGGGCGCAGCGATATTCATCCCACCAATCAGCGCTGAAAGCCCTCAGGGAGCAAAAACAGTGCCACCTAGTGGAGGCTGGAGCTGCTTACACCAAGTCCCACCACTGCTGCACCCTGGAGGTGCATTTCCCCTAGTGCAGTTCCACCTGAGAATCAGTACAAGCCCTTCCCCAGAAGACCAGCAGGAACAACTTGCTTGCACCAAGTTTACCAATGACAGACTGCTGCAAAGCTTTAGCTCTAAGGGAAAACAGAATCTAGTTTCCTTTTTCCTTTTATTTTTTATTTTATTATTATTTCCATTTATTTTATTATTATTTTCCTTTAAAATTTATTAAATTAATTCTCAGGGTTCTGGGATCCGGTCCCGCATCGGGCTCTCTGCTAGGCAGGGAGCCTGACTCCTCCTCTCTCTCTCTCTCTCTCTCTACTTGTGATCTCTCTCTCTGTCAAAGAAATAAAATCTTTAAAAAAATTTTTTTTTGAATTAATTTTATTTTTTGTTTACTTACTTAATTTATTTTGGGATCTAGATTTTTTTTTTTAACAAGCAGGCCAAAACACACCCAGGATATAGTCTTTTTTTTTTAAGATTTTATTTATTTATTTGACAGAGAGAGATCACAAGTAGACGGAGAGGCAGGCAGAGAGAGAGAGAGAGAGAGGGAAGCAGGCTCCCTGCTGAGCAGAGAGCCCGATGTGGGACTCGATCCCAGGACCCTGAGATCATGACCTGAGCCGAAGGCAGCGGCTTAACCCACTGAGCCACCCAGGTGCCCCCAGGATATAGTCTTTTTTTTTTTTTTTTTTTTCCTATTCCTTATTTTTCCTCCTTCTTCTTCTTCTCTTTTCTGGAAAATTGAGGAAACAGAGAAATTCACCCCAAAAGAAAGACTGGGAAGCAGAACTTAGCCAGGGATTTATTTAATACCAATATAAGTAAGATGTCTGAATTAGAATTTTAAACACTGATTATAAGGATACTAGCTGGCCTTGAAAAAAGCATAGAAGACACTAGAGAATCCCTTGCTGTAGAAATAAAAGAACTAAAATCTAGTCAGGCCAAAATTAAAAATGCTATACCTAAGATGCAATCCAAAGTGGAGGCCATAAAAATGAGGACGGACCAAGTAGAGGAGCGAATCGGTGATAGAGAAGATAAAATTATGAAAAATAATGAATCTGAAAAGGAGGAAAGGGGGTGCCTGGGTGGCTCAGTCGGTTAAGCATCTGCCTTGAGTTCAGGTCATGATCTTGGGGTCATGAGATGGAGCCCTATTTTGGGCTCCCTTCTCAGTGGGGAGTTTGCTTCTCCCTCTCCCCCCTGCTCATGCTCTCTCTCACTATCTCTCTCTCTCTCAAATAAATAAATAAAATATTTATTAAAAAAAAGAGGGAAAGAAAGGTAATGGATCATGAAAGTAGACTTAGAGAACTCAGCAACTTACTAAAATGTAATAACATCTGTATCATAGGAGTTCCAGAAGATGAAGAGAAAGAAAAGGGGCCAGAATGTTTATTCACAAAAAATTATAGCTGAAAACTTCCTTAATCTGGGGAAGGACACAGATCTCATAATCCAAGAAGCAGAGAGAACTCCCCTTAAATTCAACAAAAACCAGCCATTGCCAAAGCATATCATAGTCAAATTCACAAAATACACAGACAAGGAAGGAATCCTAAAAGCAGCAAGGGAAAAAAAAAGTCCTTAACCTACAAGGAAAGACAGATCAAGCTCACAGCAGATCTGTCCACAAAAACTTAGCAGACCAGAAAGAAGTGCAGAAAATATTCAACGTGCTGAATGGGAAAAATAGGTAGCCAAGAATTCTTACCCACCAAGGCTGTCATTCAGAATAGAAGGAGGGATAGAGTTTCCCAGACAAACAAAAACTAAAGAAGTTCATGACCACTAAACCATCCCTGCAAGAAATTTTAAGGGAGACTCTTTGAGTGGAGGGAAAAAAAAAACCCCAAAATCAGCAAAGACTAGTAAGGACCAGAGAACATCATCAGAGAGACCAACTTTACAGGTAACACAATGGCACTAAATTTATATCTTTCAGTAATCACTCTGAATGTAAGTGGACAAAATTCTCCAATCAAATGACATAGGGTATCAAAATGGACAAAAAGCAAGATCCATCTGTATGCTGCTTCCAAGAAACTCATTTTAGACCTAAAAACACCTGCAGATTGGAAGTGAGGGGATGGAGAACTATCTGTAATTATAATGGATGTCAAAAGAAAGCCAGAGTAGCCATACTTATATCAGACAAACTAGATTTCAGAACAAAGACTGTAAAAAGAGATGAAGAAGGGCATTATATTATAATTAAGGGGGTTAGCTATCAAGATCTAACAATTGCAAATACAATTGTGCCCCCAACTTGGGAGCACCCAAATATATAAATCAACTAATAAGAAAGAAACTCATTGATCATAATACAGTAATAGTAGGGGGCTTTAACACCTCACTTACAACAATGGGTAGATCATCTAAGCAGAAAATCAACAACGAAACAATGGCTTTGAATGACACAGTGGGCCAAATGGACTTAACCGTTGTATTTAGGACATTTCATCCTAAAGCAGCAGAATGCACATTTTTTTTGAGTGTTTGTGGAACATTCTCCAGAATAGATCACATACTGGGTCACAAATCAGCCCTCAACAAGTACAAAAAGATCGAGATCATAGCATGCATATTTTCAGACCATAGTGCTATGAAACTTGAAGTCAACAACAAGAAAAACCTTGGGAAGACCTCAAATATGTGGAAGTTAACATCCTACTAAAGAATGAATCCGTTAACCAGGAAATTAAAGAATAAATTAAAAAAATGGAAGCAAATGAAAATGAAAACATGATAGACCAGAACTTTGGGATACAGCAAAGGCAGTCTTAAGAGGGAAGTACATACCACTGGGTATTTACCCTAAAGATACAAACATAGTGATCCAAAGGGGCACGTGCACCCGAATGTTTATAGCAGCAATGTCCACAAGAGCCAAACTATGGAAAGAACCTAGAAGTCCATCAACAGATGAATGGATGAAGAAGATGTGGAATATATATTCAATGGAATACTACGCAGCCATCAAAAGAAATGAAATCTTGCCATTTGCGACAACCTGGGTGGAACTAGAGGGTATTATGCTTAGTGAAATAAGTCAGTCAGAGAAAGACAACTATCATGTGATTTCCCTGATATGAGAAAGTGGAGATGCAACATGGGGAGTTTGGGGGATAGGAAGGGATGGAGACAAACCATGAGAGACTCTTAATCTCACAAAGCAAACTGATGGTTGCCAGGGGGAGGGGGGTAGGCAGAGGGTGGTGGGGTTATGGACATTGGGGAGGGTACCTGTACCCCTG